TCTGGATGAAGCACTCTTGTCCTTGTCTTATGTTTGCCGCACGTTTATTATGTTATGCTTTACTGCTTTGTATTTCTATCCTTGTGTTATTGTCATTTTTTAATCCGTTTCTTGTAAAGCACATTGGTCAACTCTGGTTGTAGTAAATAGTGCTATATAAATAAAACTGCCATCTTGGATTTCGTCACGCATTGCCTTCTGGGATTATCTTATATGCAACAACAGATATGCACAATTTGGCCAAAACACGGTAACTTATAAAAGGCCTCATGTTGCTCCCTACCTTTTGAAAAACAATATGATTCTCTCTACGCAGCAGCACTGTGTTTTAAAGCAGATCTATAAAGTGTGTGTCTGGTTTTCAGTAAGACGGACACGCTCTGCCATCGTCCCTTGACTCTCCACACCAGCCAAACAAGGAGAGACACGGCCACACACTGAAGCGCTGCTAGGAGAGAGATCACAGGAGCACATGGCCCTCGCAGCGAGACACATGGACATGCAAATACTCAACGACCTACAGTGTAGATGTAACCGGTCTACTGGGGCCGGTTTCACAAAGAGAGACTTTGACTATGGCTTAGATATAGTATATAGTCAGACTTCAGATAGACATCTAAATCAGACCGTTGCACAAAGCACTTAAGACCATAGATATCCATAATAAAGGCTAGATGTCTCGTCCGCGCTGCTGGCCAATGGAGGTCGACATCCGCGCCTGGCGGCCATCTTGTCACAGGCAGCTCGCTCACTCGTAACATTGTGTTTTAATGGTGCATGTACTTTTTAAATAACCATAACTTGCTCAATTTTCTACCGATTTTCAAACGGTTTGGTTTGTTATAAACGTCAGATATGTAGTTATGACACTGCAAACTTATGAATAATAAGTGTATCAATAAATAATCATCCAGAATTATAGCCACGTTAATAACGTTTGTAAGAAACCAAACCGTTTGTAAATCCGTCAAGATTTCGACAAGATAAGAGTATTTGTGTTCATGCTGATCACTCATCTTACATCAGGCACCACAGAGCCTTGCCTGTGACAAGATGGCCGCCGGTGATGACGGTAGAGTCTCCGCCGTAAGTCATCTAGCCTTTAATATGGATATCTATGCTTAAGACTCTGACTATCTTAAGTAGGACTACACTGCAATGGATTCTGGGTAAAATAAGACACTTTTCAAAACAAAAGACATGGCGGATCGAGTAAGCGCATTCAACCGCTCGGTGCAGTTTACCCCAGCAGAAGATATGTGTGTGTTGGAGGAGTGTAACAGTTACAAGGACATTTTACTTGGGAAATTTAGCGGAGAATGTAGAAACAAGAAGAAATGTTTAATTTGGACAAAGATTGTAATGACAGTTAATCCGACCGTTGAGCGCTCCGTTAAAGACGTACAGAAAAGATTCAAAAACATAGTACAAGATGCCAAAAAAGAAATATTTAAGAGGAAATATCCAAAAACGGGAGGAGGACCCCAAGAGAAACTTAAAGACACTGTGGTGATGAATACACTGTATATGGTGGACCGTCGCCGATGTTTTCTTTCGGCTGTTTGTAGTGTTTGTTGTTACGGCTGGTTGCCAAGGTAACAGAGTCTTAGCCCTAAGTTAGCCTGGGGGAAAGGTGTCCTATTTTATTGGTCTAAATTAAGTCTTTATTTTTGTGAAACAGTCTAACTTGCATTAGACTAGTCTATGAGCAAATTTTAGACTTGTCTAACGCTATAGACCGGTCTACAATAGCTTTGTGAAACCGGCCCCTGTACGGTCCGGCTTGTTTGTGGATGCAGAACATATGGTTGATGTATAGCAAACCATTTATCGTTCTACATGAGCCTTATTAACGCAACAAGATAAATCAAATAGCAATAGCAACTTATATAGCACAATTAAAACAACACAAGTTGACCGATGTGCTTTACAATGTCACACAGAAAAAAAAGAAGAAGAAAAAAAGCTTCACTGTGAGGATCATGTGACACTGAAGACTGGCGTAAGGATGCATATTATACAATTAAGCAAAATGCACAATGTCATTCAAAGGTCTCGTATGCTCACCAAGGCTGCATTCACAAATACAGTAAAAATTGTGAAATATTATTACAATTTAAAATAACTGTTTTTTATGTGAATGTGTGTTAAACTGTAATTTATTCCTGTGATCAAAGCTGAATTTTCAGCATCATTACTCCAGTCTTCAGTGTCACATGTATAGCTACAAATCAGTTAATTTTTACCTTCAATATTATAGTAGGCTAATGAAGCCTAGTAGGCTACAACTGACTCCCATAGTTTACAGCATTAGTTAAGAGATTTGTTTTCCTTGAGAAAATTTGCCATGTATTGTACCTGATATCCAAAATAATCAATATTGAATCGAATCGGAATCGAATTGAATTGCAAGCTTGTGAATCGAAATCGAATCGAATTGTGAAATTTGTCAATACCCAGCCCTAATATATATATATATATATCCTTAAATGTTTGAAAGGTAGTGTAGGAGACAAACAGTCAAGGCTAAACGGTGGCAAACATGCAACAAGAAAACCCAAGATTACACTAAAAAAAATTTAATGTAAAAATCCCATATGATTATTCAAAAGCGTTGCTTCAAAAAATTCCAAGCAGAGGCATGTTTGAGACGGTGCGATCATCTTTGAGAGCACAGACTGATGTTTGAAAAGTAGATCATATGCCAGTGAAACAAAAAGTAGGCGTTAAATAACGAGTCATTCTAGAAGTAAGGAGTTCTAGTTCTGCTAGACTCAAATGACTGTGAAAGTTAAAGGGCACACAAACGCCGGGGTTAGAGTCACAAAACAAGTCTTATGAACAAAATTACCTCTTTACTGCGACTTTCTAACTTACAAGAAAAGGAAATGTTTGGGGGAATAGGACAAAATGTTCTAATATATAGGCAAAACTTAAGAAGTTCCTGAAAATAATTTACTTTAAAAACATCGTAAGTCACATCTTAAAGTTAGGATTATCCTTTATTGTCTTCAGTTTTCTTCTTAAAAAAATTTTAAAATAAAGATGTACTTATTATGTAAAACTTTAAATATTTGAGAACAACTTTTTCATTTTCAAGAAGCAGTTCTTCAAAAATGAAAAAGTTGTTCTCAAATATTTAAAGTTTTACTTACACTTTTAAAAAATAAAGGTTCTTTATTAAAAATTATTTTTTACATCCATGGAATCTTTCCATTCCACAAAAGGTTCTTTAGAGTGAAAAAGATTCTTAAGATTATTAAAATGTTCTTTAAGAACTGCTCACTTAAAGTTCTCTGGGAAACCAAAAAATGGTTCTTTAATGGCATCACCTTTATTTTTGAAGGTTCTTAAAATTCTCATTCTTATCCTAAACTTCTTTCTTAAAGGGGTAGTTCACCCAAAAATGAGTTGTTCCAAACCTGTATGAGTTTCTTTCTTCTATTTTGATATTTTCTATTTCTGTTATTTTTTGTATTTCTACTATGGAGATCAATAGGGTCAAACAACTCTTTAGTTCTTGGTTCTTCAGAATATCTTCCTGTGTTCAGCAGAAGGAAGAAACTCATACAGGTTTGTGGGTGTGTAAATAATAAGAGAATTTTTAGGTGAACTATCCCTTTAATAAGACTTTCAGATGTCGGAAGAAATAGCATTCGAATGATCGAAATGTTTCCCAACACGCTCAACAACAGCAACTAACCTTTAAAGGGTTAGTTAACCCAGAAATGAAAATTATGTCATTAATGACTCTCCCTCATGTCGTTCCAAGCCCGTCAGACCTCCGTTCATCTTCGGGACACAGTTTAAGATATTTTAGATTTAGTCTGAGAGCTTTCTGTCCCTCCATTGGAAATGTAAGTACGGTATACTGTCCTTGTCCAGAAAGGAAATAAAGACATCATCAAAGTAGTCCATGTGACATCAGTGGGTTAGTTAGTGTTTTGAAGCATCGAAAATACATTTTGGTCCAAAAACAACAAAAACTAGGACTTTATTCACCATTGTATTGTCTTCCGGTTCTGTTGTGGATCCGCATTCAGTGACGCTGCTGACGTAAGACGCTGCTGACGTGTGTCTGGTGCGCCCGAGCTTCGTTTACAGTCTGAGGGAGACGCACGCTGGAAACAAAACAATCTTCGCAAACATGTCTAAGGATTTCCACACAGAGGAAGACTTGCATTTTTTTGCCCAGCCATATTTATTTGAACCCGAATACACGGACGCACCAGACACACGTCAGCAGCATCTTACGTCAGCAGCGGCACTGAACGCGGATCCACAACAGAACCGGAAGACAATACAATGCTGAATAAAGTCCAAGTTTTTGTTAATTTTGGACCAAAATGTATTTCCGATGCTTCAAAACATTCTAACTAACCCACTGATGTCACATGGACTACTTTGATGATGTCTTTATCTCCTTTCTGGACAAGGACAGTAAACCGTACATACATTTTCAATGGAGGGACAGAAAGCTCTCGGACTAAATCTAAAATATCTTAAACTGTGTTCTGAAGATGAACGGAGGTCTTACGGGCTTGGAACGACATGAGGGGGAGTCTCATTAATGACATCATTTTCGTTTTTGGTTGAACTAACCCTTTAAGAACGACCGGGTCCTTTCCTCCTCAGCGATTCCAAACCATAGATTTTTTATAGTTTTATTATCCTAAACTTCTTTCTTAAAGGGATAGTTCACCCCAAAAAAAGTTTCTTTCTTCTGCTGAACACAAAAGAAGATATTTTGAAGAATGTCTGTAACCAAACAGTTAATGGTAGCCATTGACTTCCAATTGATTTGGTCAATGGGGTCCAACAACTGTTTGGTTAACCATATTCTTCAGAATATCTTCAGCAGAAGAAAGAAACTCATACAGGTTTGGAACAACATGACCGAATGATAATTTTTAGGTGAACTATTCCTTTAAGAAGATTTTCAGATGTCGTCAGAAATAGCATTCGAATGATCGAAACGTTCAACAACATCAGCAACTAACCTTTAAGAACGACGGGGTCCTTCCCTTCCCTCCTCAGCGACTCCAGAACCACATGCAGGGCCTGCGAGGGCGTCAACCGGCCCGGATCCACCGTGGTTTCATCGTACACCACCAACTCTTTCGAAAAAATCCCTTTGAAGGAGTCCTTGCTGTGCCGGCAGGAGATGAGATCCAACACTGTGATCTTGCCCTGCTGGAGCCGTCGACGGCTGATCTTATCCGAGCAGTTGATGTGCACGGCGCCTCGGATGTGGCTCTTGTTGAACTCCATGAACGGTCGACAGTCGATGATAACCGGAACAGGGCCGATCGGGTGTCCCAGCGGGCATTGCGTGAGCTTCTTAGCGAGCTCGTAAGGGTGGATGACCCGCATGCCTCCCCTAATCAAGTTTGAGGTGAGACTCGGCGCACTCCCGTGTCCCACCGGCACGTGAACGCCATATCCGACGCCAGAGTTTAAGTTAGGACTGCTGGCGCTGACCCGAACGTCTTTCTCGTAGGTGGTCACGGTGCAACAGCTGGCACTGCTGCATCCACACGTCAGCGAGCGCGTGGAGCCGCTGGACGAGGGCATATACGAAAGCTTGGTGTCCTGGATCTTCACCTCGATGGCTTCTTCCAGGGAGCTGGTGTCCCGGCGCAGTCCGAGGTCCTGAGGGCGTAAAGGCCTTGGCAGCGCCACCACAATCCTGTCGTCTAGAGGAGACGGAGGCATGGAGAGACCACGGAGAACTCAGACGACCAGACGATCTGAGGAACACAACACAGATCAGATGCATCGCCGTGGAACGGACAGACTTGGGGATTTGAAATGTACTTTTTCACTCACAGACCAATTTGGCTACTAAATTTACCACTTCAGGGGCCGGTTTCACAAAGATAGACTTTGACTATGGCTTAGATATAGTAGATAGTCAGACTTCATATAGACATCTAAATCAGACCGTTGCACAAAGCACTTAAGACTCTGACTATCTTAAGTAGGACTACACTGCAATGCATTCTGGGTAAAATAAAACACTTTTACTTGGACATTTTACTTGGGAAATTTAGCGGAGAATGTAGAAACAAGAAGAAATGTTTAATTTGGAAAGGGCCATTTTCCCTTTTCTTTCGGCTGTTTGTAGTGTAACTGATTGTTACTGCTGGTTGCCAAGGTAACAGAGTCTTAGCCCTAAGTCAGCCTGGGGGAAAGGTGTCTAATTTTATTGGTCTAAATTAAGTCAGTCTTTATTTTTGTGAAACAGTCTAACTTGCATTAGACTAGTCTATGAGCACATTTTAGACTTGTCTAACACTATAGACCGGTCTACAATAGCTTTGTGAAACCGGCCCCTGAACTTCTACTAGCCAAAAAAAAGAAAAAAAGAAAGAAGATGAAATAAACCAGATTTACTACGTCACAGCTTATATATATATGTATGCTCAGCTAAAATGATATCAAATGCTTTAAAATGGCAGCCAAAACCAGAAAGACGTAAGAAAACAGAAAACTACCATTCGAATGGATCGAAGAATAGCCAAAATGGCAAAGACTCAGCCAAAGATCAGCTCCAGTGATCAAAGAAGATCTTAAGTTACCTGTGTATATATATATATACACACACAGTTGTGTTCAAATTAATAGCAGTCCAACATCTCTAACCAAAACAATCACTTTTGTTTTTGGTAGAAATGATATTTCTACATGGCAAATAATTTACTAGTAGGTGTAGAAGAGTAATAGAAAAACAGCAGACCCAACAGTCATGACATGCATGCTGCTTATTCTAGTGAATTGAATCATTAGCTGAAAGGGACGTGTTCAAAATAATAGCAGTATGGACTTCAGTTAGTGAGGTTACTCATTCAAACAAGTGGCCCTTATTTAAGGACAAAGACAGTACTGTACTGTACATGGTGCTTATAGAGCATTTCTCTCTGAATATCGGAGTAAAATGGGCCGTTCCAGACAGTTATGGAGAACAGCGCACTTTGATTAAAAAGTTGATTGGAGAGGGTAAAATATGTAAAGAAGTGCAGAAAATGATAGGCTGCTCAGCTAAAATGCCCAGCAAGCAATTCTGCGTTGAAAAGACGTCTAATAGCCGTCCAAACACAGCACAGACGTCTAGGCTAAAACAAGGCAAAATTTGGGCTGTCAATGAAAATTTAATAGACGTCTAAAAACCATTGCCCAAGAATACACTAGTCAATTAGATAAAGAAATGAAATGAGTGAAGAAATGAAACCAAACACCCTGTAATCACTGTTGACTTTGCTTACATGATGGAATATCACACATTTCGCAAGTTATTTTGGCAAAAACGACATGTAACCAAATTCAAGGTTATTTTGGTTAGAAGTGTGTTACTCATAGCTTCGGGTCTATAGTTAACCTAGACGGTGAAATGGCGGCTATTGCTTGCTGGGTGATATCAAATACTTTAAAATGGCAGCCAAAACCAGAAAGACGTGGAAGAAAACAGAAAACTACCATTCGAATGGATCGAAGAATAGACAAAATGGCAAAGACTCAGCCAATGATTAAAGAAGATCTTAAGTTACATGTGAGTCCCGTTACAATTAGAAGACGCCTATGTGAAGCCAAGCTATCGGCGAGAAGCCCCGCACAGTCCCATTGTTGAAAAAAACGGCATGTGCTAAAGAGGGTACAATTTGCCAAAGAACACATTGACTGGCCTAAAGAGAAATGGCGCAAAATTTTGTGGACTGATTAAAGCAAGATTGTTCTTTTTGGGTCTAGGGGTCGCGGAAAGTTTGTCGGATGACCCCCAAACACTGAATTCAAGACACAGTACAGACAGTGAAGCAAGGTGGCACAAGCATCATGACATGGGGATGTTCCTCATACTATAGTGTTGGGCCTATTTATCACATACAACAGATCATGGATCAGTTTGAAAACATCAAAATACTTAAAGAGTAGGGGTGTAACGATACCCTCATGTCACGATTCGACACATATATCACAATACGATATTATTGCGATGCTCTAAGACATGATAAAAGGTTAACAAAAAATGTACTGTTGATTAAAATACTAACTTTGATATTGCATTGTGGGTTTAAATGAATAGGCTTGGACTTGGTGCTTGTTACCCAAGGACAATGGTGACACCAGAATAACAATATTCATGATTCTGAAGCTGAAAATACAGAATTATTTTAAACGAATATGCTTGCACTCTTTAACGGACTAGATATATTTAAAATAAATGTCGGCCACTTTTTACTAGTACAGACATCTGGCATTATCAGGACCCACAAATATTCCCCCATTGCATTAATATACATTATATTCAACATTATATATAGTAGTTTAATGTAGTACTGACACTAAAACTTTTTTCTCACACAGTAATTTTTATTTTGGGGGAACTATCCACGATACATATTGTCACTATCCCCGATACGTATTGTTGCATTTTTGCATTGTGATATATTGTGGCACGATATATTGTTACACCCCTATTAAAGAGGTCATGTTGCCTTATGATGAAGAGGTGATATGCGATTGAAATGAGTGTTTCAACAAGACAACGACCCCAAACACACCAGTAAGCGAGCAGCATCTTGGTTCCAGACCAACAAGATGAACGTTATGGAGTGGCCAGCCCAATCCCCGGACCTTAATCCAATAGAAAACGTGTGGGGTGACATCAAAAACGCTGTTTTTAAGGCAAAAACCAAGAAATGCAGAGGAATGGTGATATGTAGTGCACTCGTCTTGGGCTGAAATAAAATCAAGCATTTTTCAGTTTATACAGTAAATGTTTTAGCCTAGAAATCTAGACGCACCCTAGCGGCAGCAAAAATTATTTTGCAGCAAAGTGTGGTCTAGCAACTCTCCGTTGGCTTTTCGAGCTGGAAAAACCAAACTCTGGTCAGGCCAATCACATCGTGTATAGAGTTGGTGGGCGGGCTTAACAATGACGGTTCCGCGTGATTTCCATAGGTGATATCCCTGCTAACGTTACTTGAAAACAAAGAAGATGCTGCTGGCGAACAGCGGTCTTTCAAATCGGATTTGGCCGCGACTCTGGAGGACTTGGAGTTAAGAGAACGTAACTTAAAAAAAGGAAGATGTGTTCGGAGTTTTGACGATCGGATACGGCAAAAGTTTAATATATCAACTAGCTCCGCTGGTGGAAAAACTCATGGGACTCACACAGCGCTGTCCTATTGCGTGCCGAGGGATATTGAAAGACAACCGTTTATCCCGCCCCTCGGATTGAGGTATGCCAATTGTGAGTTCCCAGACCTAACATCTTGATGTAGGTCTGGCTTGTCAGGCTAGTAAATGTTTGACTTTGCAAAGAAAAATGCAGACACTGCTATTCTTTTTGAACAGCCTAAAGGCCTGTTCACACCGGGACGAATTTCACGCGCGATATTCGCCGACGTTTAACGCCTCGTGAGTCACGACTAAACAAAGGGCGCCAATGTGAGTGTGCACACCGACGCGAAAAAGGCCACGCGTAAAAGCGTCATTTTTGTAAAAACGTAAAAAAGATTGGCGCTTTTGCTCACGTGTCTGGAGCTTCTGAAGTTACAGTAAAACACAACTTGGGGGCGCTCAAACACAAAACGGTCTTGCCGAGCACACATACGTAACGGCGAAGAAGATATACGCCAAGTAGCGTCTACACTGCCGGGAAGAAATAAGACGAGGAAGATGCAAGGCAAGATGAATGTAGAGCTGCTGGTCTCGTTGGTGTCGGAACATAAAGAACTATATGACAAACGCGACAGCGACAGCGACTACAACATAGGACTATTTCTGTTTTACATTAAGCGCCATCTAATGTCAGGGAATGAATTTGTTCACTCGGCTCATCGTCAGCGAAAAGGTGTGAACTCGCTTGGGTGTGAACACAAAAAACGCGTTGAAAAACGCTGGCGCGCCGATATTCGTCCCGGTGTGAACGAGCCTTCCCTTTTCTTCACTTTCTATAAGGTAATAACAAATTCGATAAATTTCTCTTTGTGTTTTGATTTCGAATTGAATGTGCAGTGTTCCCAATGCATTTTGCGTGTATTGAAATAAAAGTTATTATAAGGATTTTGAGCTTTACACACTTTTTTAAAGGGGTCATATAATGGTACATGCACTTTTACAAGTTGATTGTACTGAAATGTGTGTTGGCAGTGCCTGTACAGAACCATCATATAATGATAAAAATCCATCCAGTGGTTTTGTTTTAATCTCCTTATATGTTTTCCCCTGCCTCAAATCAAGCCGTTCGAGCCTGTGACGTCACAAGCTCGCACGCCCCTCCCGCGATTGTTGAATGACAGGAGCGTTTCAACACAGACCCGCCCTCGCTCGTGAGCCAGCTGTCAATCATAGTCCGCGCGGACCGGCGCGGTCATTGTTGATATGCTGGAGCACTGTCTATGAGCAGAATGGCGTCTAAGCGATTGTGGTGTTCTGTTCTTGGGTGTAATAACGAACACAGCAGTCATTTTAATGTTCCTGAATCCGAACCGCTGAAGACGCAGTGGCTGAGTTTGTTTTCGAAGGGAATATTCCCCACGAGCAACGTCAATGCTCTCATGTTTGCGCGGATCATTTCTCACCAGACTGCTTTATAAACGAGGAGGTATAAAGCTGGTTTTGCTAAGAAGCTGCTCATGAAAGGATCGGTACCATCTATTTGTGTTCCTGCAGCTGCTCCAGAAGAACTGAAGTGAGTGTAACGTTTTATTAAACTTTATATTAATATATATATATTAATCCTTGTAAATCGCTAGCTGCACGCTTCACGATGAATGCATCTAAGGTTTACACTCAGGGTACATTACGGCATGCTTTCTATGTATGACGTTCTCAATATAATGCATAATCCCACGTTTATACTGGACAACGTGTTATGGTTATTGTGTTATTGTGTTACAAACGGTGTACGCCAGAACCGGCTCTGGTGTACGCATAGAACAGAGAGGCGGAGTCAGCAAAGCTCATTATCATTTAAAGTCATATGCACTGAAACGGACTGCTGAAAACAGAGCTGTTTTTGACCAGGTAAAATAAGTGTTTTCTTACAATACTAATGAGAATTTTTAATTAAAGTATATTACAAACTTTTAATTTAGACCCTAAAGAATCATATTAGCTTGTACAAAAATGGCATTATATGACCCCTTTAAACACACTGATCTTCCCCAGCAAAGTGAGTGAACATAAGTAACCCGCCGGGTGTGTGTGAGTGTTCATTTCAAACCCCGGGTGTAACGATACACTCGTGTCACGATTCGACACATATATCACGATACGATATTATTGCGATACTCCGACAGACATATGATAAAAGGTTAACAAAAAATGTACTGTTGATTAAAATGATAAATTTGGGATTACATTGTGGGTGTAAATGAATAGGATAGCCTTGTGGTTAGTGCCGACATATAGCGCATAGCTTTGACGTTCCCCTCGCTTACCTGTCAAAAATCTCTACTGTCCTGTATAATAAAGGCACTAAAAGGCCAAAAACATAAATAAATAAATAAAAATGAATAGGCTTGGACTTGGTGCTGGAAACCCAAAGCACAGGACAATAGAGACACCAGAATAACAATATTCATGATTCTGAAGCTGAAAATACAGAATTATTTTTGACGAATATGCTTGCACTCTTTCACTTACTAGATATATTTAAAATAATGCTCCACTTTTTACTAGTAACAGACATCTGGCATTATCAGGACCCACAAATATTCCCCCATTGCATTATTATACACTATATTGAACATTATACAGTAGTTAATGTAGTACTGACACTAAAACTCTGAAAACTTGAATTTTTACCTCACACATAATATTTATTTTGGGTGAACTATCCACAATACATATTGTTGTATTGCGATATATTGTGACATGATATATTGTGTCAGCCGTAGTCTGTACTCATCAGGCCCGACTGAACCTGCAGGGGAAACCTACAGAACGGCTGTCAAGAGTTTCACACTTAAATGACCTGAAATACTGGCAGGAGACGTGTTGAACTTTTGAGAATTACATATTGCACTGAAATCTACATGTTCTGGATCCTCAAAAGTGCATGAGACTCTCAATGTACAAGACCGAATTGCTGACCCCATTAAATTCAAAAGAACACACACACACACACACACACACACACAGGACAGCCCATTCCCAAACACAGCATGTGGACGTGCTGGGAATAAAATATGAAAAGCTTCTGCATCTATGGCTAGACATCATCATTATTTCATGCGGTGACAATGCATGCAATTTGCAGATCATTTTCTTTGCACACCAGAAGCTGTCAAGACATCACAACTACAGCCTCACACATGACTGATATGATGATAACAGTGAGTAATGCACGGACATTAAGTTTGATTTCAGGGGAAACTGGCATTTCATAAGCATCTATGTTAAATATGAGGTTTCCTACAGTTATCATTTATGTCTATTAAGGGTGGGACTGTGTGTAGCTACTCAAATGCTCAGCAATTCAAACAACTCTTCATAGTTAAATATGAGCATTAGACTTACATTTAGCGCGTTTCTCAGCAATGTCTTGTTTCTTCCGATGTGTTTGGTGAGTTATCGATCAGTCTGAGCCGTTCAGCCGGTACCGGCGCTAAAGACCCGCAACATTTTCCTCCCGTCCTGCTTTGCTCTCTCCTCACTGATAGCTGGAGTTTGTAGCGGGTCTGCACTAGTATCACTTCAGACTGACACGATCCTGAACCAATGAAGCCCCGCACTGCTGATAGTCATGCGCTGATGGAGAGAAACTCCGGCCCAGAAAGAGGAGGAGCGCGAGCGGCGCGTGCGGAAGCGCAGGGTGATGTCATTGACAGCCAATCAGGAGACAGTTCGGTGAAGCCGGTTTAAAGAGACGAGTGAGAATGCACTGAAATAATGATGATGATACTAATGTTTAAAAATAAATTAATCAAATAATTATATACATTTTGTAGGGTTCAACTACATCTAAAGGCGAAAATAAAAATAGTCATTAAAATAAAATACAAAAAGAGGGAAAAATAAAACAGACAAAAATTAATTAAAATAACAATGCTAAAACATATAATGTTGTGGGGTCCTCCTTTCTATGTCAACACCTTAGAAGCAAAACTTAAAATAGTAAATAAAAATAAAATACAAACAAAGAGAATTTACTGTATCATTTAGCCAATCAGAAAACAGTTTGGTCAAACTGGTTTTAAAGAGACAGGACACAAGTGTGAATACACTGAAATAAATGATGATACCGTTTAAATGAATAAATTAATTCAATTTAATACTTATATAAAAGTTGTAGGGTTCTTCCTACGTCAACACCTAAAGGTGAAAATTAAAAAAGTAATTAAAAATAAAATACAAAAAGAAAGAGAATTTACTGTATAATTTAGCCAATCGAAAAAAGACAGTTTGAACAAGCTGGTTTTAAAGAGACAGGACGTGAGTGTGAATGCACTGAATTAATTCATTAAAATCTTTATTTAACCAGGATAAAAACTCCTTGAGATTAAAAATCTCTTTTACAAGAGTGTCCTGGCAATGATGATAACATGTTTAAAAAATAAGAAATAAAATAAAATAACATAAATGATGTAGTTCTTCCTACATCAACATCTAAAGGCAAAAATTAATATAGTCATTAAAAAAATACAAACAGAATTGACTGTATAATTTAGCCAATCAGAAGACAGTTTGGTCAAACTGGTCTTAAAGAGACAGGACACAAGAATGCACTGTAATAAATAAAAAAAACAGTTAAAAAAAATTAATACAAATAAAATACAATAAAATATATCAGTGTTGTAGGGTCATTCCTATGTCAACACTTTAAAGGCAAAAATATTCATTAAAAATAAAAATACAAACAATCATAAACATGTCATTACATAAACATACTGATTATAACTTTAATTTTGCAAACATCATTAGATTACATTATATAACACTTAAATCATGTTAATGCATCCATTTATTATGAAACTTTGATTCAAAGTTCCATGTATTTCCGATTCATATTCAATAGCAAATAACCTTCAATAACATTAAATGACTTATGAATGAGAGTTATGATGTAGTGTTACAGGTTCTTGTGAGTTCTTATGGATCTACAGTGCAGAATAACACTGACAAGTAGACAGAGTTCGGCTGTGATTCACTCGTGTTGACTACAGTCCCATTTAAAGCCCATGACTGCTGTTCAGTGTAGTTTATAGCCGTCGTCAGGCCTTGTAGGCGACAGTCCCAAATGTTAAAACATGTCTTCATGGTCTAAATTACTCATCTGTGACTAATGAGATATGTTATCTTTATATTAATTATCTTACAAGCAGTGCTTTAAAGGTGACTCGAATGCAGTGTCATTTACACCAAACAGGATTTTATATTTCTAAATTCTGCACTCATCTAGAAATAATGAGGCATATATTAGAATTTGCCATTCAAATGAGTTAACGTTAAAAGCTGATCTTGTTTTATTGCCCCGCTACAAGCATAAAATTATATTTAGATGTGTGTATGTGAGTATCAGTCAGTGGAAAAAACTGACGTCATGCGGTGTGATATTTAGGGCCCTGAAGAAGAGGAAACGAACAACCACTTCCTCTTTTGCAGAGGTGTTTTGCTCAGTCCCTTTCACAGTCTCGTTTCTCTCCGTGATTCTCATTAGACTCTCGTTACTGTAATACAGTCGTTTGCGTTTGAATTAGCATCGTTTAAAGGCAGTGCAACAAATACTGTCATGATGAATTCATTACAGCAATGCCCAAAAAACTTTACTTATTACTGTAATTAGAAATCACATTTAAATATGTGGAAAGTGTATACTACAGGTCACTAATTCAATAATTAAGATTTTTTAACTGTTTTTAAAATTAAGTCTCTCATGCTCCCCAAAGGCAGCATCTGTTTAATCAAAAATGCAGTAAAAACAGTAATATTGTGAAATATATTAAAATCTTATGTGCTAATTTACACTTGAGTTTTACATTATTTTGTACTATTAATAGATAGATCTGCATAATTGCAATACATTAATATTTAACTATACCTATAGTCATCATTAAGAATAATGAGAATTCCCAAAACTAAAATGTCGGGTCACATTACAGTAATGTGATTTTTGCATTAAAACTATGGCACTTAAAATAATAATTGTTCTAAAAAGATGCTCCTTTTTCTTTATGCTAAAAATAATAATATATATATTATTTAAATATATCCCACAGTGACAGTAGTGCATTCAAATGGTTTAATGCATGGATTATCCCTCTTATAACATGATCATTTACCAGCATTGACAACCTAAAGCTTTTATTGATGTTTGCAGTGCAATATTTGAATCAGACAGAGATAAAGTAGCCTAGTGCGTAAAGATTACATTTATTTAAATGAAAGAATTATAGCATTTATTATCGAGAGATGAGAGAAGCATGTGTGAATTACCTGCGTCTGTTCAGCGCCTCTCTATATTAACAATAAAGCTCGAAGTTTAATAACTTCAAAACCAGCGATGTTCCCCGCGCAATGCTGAGAAATATGATGTTGCGATTGAGTAGCAAAGCTATTTTAATGATAAAAGTTGTGGGGGAAAGTTTCAATCAATAGATACTTTTCCATCCAAAGTTGTGAATTTAACGTGCAAAATTGGAATATCGGATAAAACATTAACGAATGAAGCAGCGTTTCCATCCAGTGACCTGAAGAGAACAAAATATTCCTGATAAACTGGTGCTAAATATCACTAAGAAAAGTAGGAGAAGAAACTATATATAATATGTATTACTTGCGTCTCAGAGCATGCAGACCAAACGCAATAAACTTTGTGTATCTTGCTTTCGGAGGCGGAGTTTGCACCGAGATCGGCCCGCTCGTTAGTCCTGTTATGAAGTCTCAAAGTCACAGAAATGTTTTTAATGCGCCTTGAGGAATTTGTTGTGTAAATGTGTTTCCATCGTAGTATATGCGCATGTTTTCTTATCGGATTAAAAATGTATCCGACTCAAACGATATGCATTTTTAGAATTTTTTTACGTGGGGGGAATTAAGGTTGAATGGGACAGTTTAACTATAGAGTTTATTTTCTCACCTAATGAGTGAAAATAAAAACTGTTTTTGCTGAACCCTAGCTGTGAGACCACATAATCAAAATTCGCCTTTGGCTAAGCCCCGCCCCCCTTAGTTACTGTTGCTACGTCCGACAAACAAACTTCATCTGGGCTCTGGTATCAACATGGCTTATGCTGTGACAGCTCTTCCTGCTGAAATTTTATCAAACGTTTATAAAGCAGCAAATAAAGTGTCCGATAGAAGTAGGCAAAAGGGGCTGCAATATACGTTCGAAGGCATACGTTCATGACATACAGGTGAAACGCAAGGAACAACAAGGCATCCAAATAGAGGCAAAAGCATAACGTTCCCGGTCACAGTCAAAAAATGAACCACCGCATATCCTACTAATCGAGACGGAGGCTGGGACTAATAATATCAAGGAGCAACACTGTTCATGCAAAGCTGGGTAGGTCTCTATTCACTTCTATAATCATTATTACAAAGCAAACGGACTACGTGAGTATAACATTGTATTTATTAGCAGCGTGTGCTAGACGACACTTGTCAGGATTTGACTTCGGTTTTGGGAAGGGAAAAAAAACGCACACCCCCCTCCAACCCATAGATATCCATAATAAAGGCTAGATGTCTTACGGCGGAGTCTCTATCGCCCTCACCGGCGGCCATCTTGTCACAGGCAAGCTTTCTGGCGGGCTCTGTGGTGCCTGATGTAAGATGAGTGATCAGCACGAACACAAATACTCTTATCTCGTCGAAATCTTGACGGATTTACAAACCGTTTGGTTTCTTACAAACGTTATTAACGTGGCTATAATTCTGGATGATTATTTATTGATACACTTATTATTCATAAGTATGCAGTGTCATAACTACATCTCTGACGTTTATAACAAACCAAACTGTTTGAAAATCGGTAGAAAATTGAGCAAGTTATGGTTATTTAAAAAGTACATGCACCATTAAAACACAATGTTACGAGTGAGCGAGGTGCCTGTGACAAGAGGGCCGCCAGGTGCGGACGTCGACCTCCATTGGCCAGCAGCGCGGACGAGACATCTAGCCTTTATTATGGATATCTATGCTCCAACCTCTCTGGGAACCGCATATCTGTTACAAATGCCCCAGGCACAACGTTTAACCATATTTTTGACAAAACTACGACGGTAATAGCCTGCCGAGACCAAAAATATGAGACGCCTGTGTTAAAGTCAATGGAGCGCTGTGAAAAAGTGTCGGACCTCTGTGGGAGCTCGTTCTTGCTTGCGCTGTGATTGGTCAATCTACATTCTAGTGTGTGGCTTAGCCAAAGGCGAATTGGATGCCCTTATTGGATGCCCTTAAACACAATTTGGGTGGATGGGACAGCATGATTTTGGGGGATTGGGACAGTGTTTAAAGGCTTGGCTAATTAAGAAAATTATTAACTTTGCAATAGAGAACCATTGTTTATGCTCTGTATTCTCTAAATCAGTCGTTCCCAACCTCTTTATTTGTGTAAGCCCTAATCAACCACAAAAATATTCATGAACTAGCTAGATTTTGCTCAAATAAAACGACCAAATTCTGAAAATAGAAACATTATTAACTTTTTTTTACTGATTGTGTTGCAGTAATAAACCATATGCATCTTTCCAGTAGGTTTGTGCAGGTTAAATGCGTTTGTCAAATAGTTAAGTCATGGAGGCACCCACATCTCATCCAAATACTCATTTTTTCCCTGTTCAAATGGATAGGTAACATCTTCAGTATTACAGAAATGCATCATGTGTTGGGCTGATGTTTTTAATTTCAGGCGGAAATTCAAAAACCGTCCCAATCACCCTTAATTCACCCTATCTTGGCGTTTCCATCCTACAGCTTTTAATGGGATATCCCAAAATACGCATACAAATAGGTGGATTGAAAAATAGCTAAGAAATTATCTAATGAAAACCGCACGAGTAACGTATGCATGTGCATGATAGCACATTAATATAGAGCGGTAATTAAACTGACTTGGAACAACTTGTCCATTTACGGTTTTATTGAACACCTTCCAGCCAATCAGAATCGAGTATTCAGACAGACCGTGGTATAAATATATATAAAATAATTTTGTGGGACAAAATACGACCTGGATTCACTGATTAAATCCAAATTATGCAAAATGCTCCTGATGGGCCTGCAAGAATGACTTACAATTCTGACTGAAAAGTTTCTACATTGAAAAACAACAGGAATGAGACATGAATCCTCCACAGATTTCAGCATTTCAGCATCATTCACTTGCATGACTCAGTTCTGTGAGCATTACCATCTTGCTCAGCATAAGTGTTCAGATGGTCACGATGAGCAACGCATGAAACCTGCTGCACATGACGAGATGCTCATCGTTTCAAACACAAACCATGGGATTATTACATCCATCTGTCTGAGTCTGAGCTCGAAATCTATTTTTATAAAGACAAGTCGACCAACTTCAGTTCATACAGACAAAAAGTGCTGTTTCTTGCCTTTCATCTGTGGTTGAGTGATTTACGAGATAGTTACTCCGAATATTAGATCTACACAATCTCTTTTGAAGATCATACAAGGAATAAAAGATCAAAGATGAAGAATAATTAAAATTACACAGTAGAAATGTTACATGTACAGTACAATTTTTTTATTGAGATGTCATTTTGGTGACTGCAACCATATATAAACCTTGTAAATCTGAAATATCACTAGTTGAATTATTTTTAAATCTTAAACTATAAATTACTTAGTCAGGTTAACTTAATTTAGTTTTTGATATAATTAAAACCAAGTTACTCGTGTTTACATCCTAATACATGAATACATACACATTTTCTGCCAAAATTAACACTGTATATATATATATAATTTATAAATATTTATATTTATTGTTTTTATTTTCAATTAATTAAATGGGGTGTAATATATATAAACACACACACAGACGCACACACACACAACAGGCTTCAGAAACGCAGCATTTGCGCTCCCTCCTGGTCACAATCAAGACTGACATCAAGTTCACTGCATTTCCATAATTTTAATAGAAAGTGAAGCTCAACATGAGCAGATACACAGTATATAAAGAGAGTCTTGTGTCATACATGGACAACTATAACGTTGTCTGGTACAAATCTAGAAAACATCAAAATTTTACATGTTTATTGTATCTTTTACTTGGACTTCTTGGTCTTCATCTTTTCTTCTTTTTTTCCTTCTCCATCTTTTCCTTCTTTACCTTCCTTTTCTTGCTCTTCCTCAATGCGCATTCCTTTGTTTTACTTTCAGATTTTCTCTTTAAGTTTTGAGCGTATCTTCTGTATTCTAAAACTGTGAACAGAAAACAAAATGTTCAGGAACTTATTAAATATGTCAGGAATACGTGTCGACCGATATGTGATTTTCAGGGCCAATGCCGATTATTACAGATCAAATAGACCGATAACCGATATATGTCTGGTGTAAAAATGTAAATTAATGTCAAAATTAAGAATAACAAAGGGTTTTGACAAATACTTTCTTTAAATGATTTTAAACATATCTTTGAATCTGAGAAATGTTATTAATAATAATAATTATAATAATAACTTAAGTGCAGGGAGCACCCAGCAGCATTCTGTAAACATTTAGTAAAACTTAAAGACTATTTTAATGTTTAAATGAAATTTTAGTAATCAAAAAGCATTTCTAATTAATTGAAATCATCAAACTTATTCAATTTATTTAGTGTTTAACAAAAATTACATTTTTAGGGCCCTATGAAAAACGCGTGATTTCATTTCATTCACCACACACACACACACACACACACTGGAGCACGCGTGACGCTTGCGCTGTTTTCAGCCTCAGCCGCATCATTATATGTGACCCGATCTGGCGAAATGAGTCGGAATCGGTCGACCCCTAGTCAGGAATGGTCTGAACACACACACACACACACACACACACACACACACAGACTCCACACATAAACTGAGACCCAAAGGTTTCTATTCTGGTTCTACTGAGGACACTAAATGGAAACTTGATCATTTCATCTGGAAAAAGATAATCATGTACTTACAGCGTTCACCTAGACCCTTTAAAACTTCACTCTTGATCTGCAGAAGACTGACGTTCTCCACCAGGTCTACCCTGGCGAAATGGATTCTGAAGTGAAAGGAGAACCACAGCGGTCGCCTGGCGTCCCATTCCTTCAATACAAACTCCTTGCGCTTTCTAAATGAGTAGAAATCAACATCAGAAGACACATTAAAGAAAGATGAACATGTGAAAAAGCATCATCCTCTCTAGTGTGTGTGATGTTGCTGTTTGAGCACAAAGTCCCTCCAGCGGGAGTTCTTCTCTATATCAGTGTCAGTGTTTCTGAACTCCTGAAACGCCTCCATTGTAGTCTTGAGTTTCTTCCGGGAACAAACACGTCACAATATTCCTCATTTAAATAATTAATATGCAGAATAAAGGGGCGGGCCTGGTTGAGTTAGTTAGTAGTGTGTTGAAACTTGCGGTTATGGTAAGGGGCGGGACATTTCCCAAACACACTCCAGGGCTTGGAGGAAAAAAATGAAACTTTTTTATTTGGTAGCACTGGTGCTCCCAACTTCAAAAGTTAGGAGCATCACAACTAAAATGTTTATATCCTGAATTCTTTGCCACACGCTCGTCCCGGCATTTCGTATGCTTGGCACTCTCCTTGAGTTTAATCAAGCTCTCACGCATAATATGTGTGCATTAGTGATGTGGTTATTTGTGGAGGGAGGGTCTAGCTAGCCTCCGTTTAGTTTGACAATACTTTGGATGTCAACAAGAAGTGACGTCACCCAACATCGCTTAGAGCACCATTAAGCTAACCAGTTGCGGCGTCCACTTGTTTAAGCAGCAATGGAGGCAAAACAGATCTGAGACAAATCTCAAAAAGGAGAATTAAAAACAAAAACACCATGTGGGAATGTTTTAGTGAATGGGTTAGTTCACCCAAAAATGAAAATTATGTCATTAATGACTCACCCTCATGTCGTTCCAACCCCGTAAGACCTTCGTTCATCTTCAGAACACAGTTTAAGATATTTTAGATTTAGTCCGAGAGCTTTCTGTCCCTCCATTGAAAATGTATGTACGGTTTACTGTCCTTGTCCAGAAAGGAAATAAATACATCATCAAAGTAGTCCATGTGACATCAGTGGGTTAGTTAGAATGTTTTGAAGCATCGGAAATACATTTTGGTCCAAAAATAACAAAAACTAGGACTTTATTCAGCATTGTATTGTCTTCCGGTTCTGTTGTGGATCCACGTTCAGTGCCGCTGCTGACGTAAGATGCTGCTGACGTGTGTCTGGTGCGTCCGTGTATTCGGGTTCAAATAAATATGGCTGGGCAAAAAAATGCAAGTGTTCCTCTGTGTGGAAATCCTTAGACATGTTTGCGAAGATTGTTTTGTTTCCAGCGTGCGTCTCCCTCAGACTGTAAACGAAGCTCGGGCGCACCAGACACACGTCAGCAGCGTCTTACGTCAGCAGCGTCACTGAATGCGGATCCACAACAGAACCGGAAGACAATACAATGGTGAATAAAGTCCTAGTTTTTGTTGTTTTTGGACCAAAATGTATTTTCGATGCTTCAAAACATTCTAACTAACCCACTGATGTCACATGGACTACTTTGATAATGTCTTTATTTCCTTTCTGGACAAGGACAGTATACCGTCCATACATTTTCAATGGAGGGACAGAAAGCTCTCGGACTAAATCTAAAATATCTTAAACTGTTCCTAAGATGAACGGAGGTCTTACGGGCTTGTGATGACATGAGGGTGAGTCATTAATGACATCATTTTCATTTTTGGGTGAACTAGGTGCTAGGTTTGGTATATGTAACGGTGTTCTTTTCATCTTTTCTCTTTAACCCTCTAGGCGCCACGGTCGAGTTCACTCGACAAGATGCGGCACTGAATAAAACGGCTGATTTTGTCAAATTTCGTTCGACCTCCCCTCCACTGGATGGCAGACATGTCATACTTCATCCCCGAATCAAAAAAAACGTCATCTTTCTATACAAAATGTTCGAGTTAGAGCGCATTGAATCAGTGAGATCAAAAGCGGAGCTAGTGTGCGAGTGAGCCATATCAGATCCTCTCCGCAATCGCGGCGACAGTATTGTGGTGGAGACTTTGTCTAATACCACTGGGTATGTTAGACGAGGTCGAAGTATTCATAGGACAGTTAGGAGGCGACGTGGAGGCAGCGTGGGGAGTCACAATGACAATGACAGCAGTCCGAGCTGTGCACACTTGAGGCAGATCTGGCCGCGCTACTCGTATCATCTCACTCATGATCTGTGCCTTGCCGTGGCGAGTGAGCGCTTGAACTAAACAGGTCTTGTTTACTTGTGTTTGTGTGTCATATGAATAATATATATGTGCCCCATACATGGAATCAGAGTGCCTACTGTATTTAGTAAATGGAAAATCTCAACAGCAAAAGGCCAACCACTACATGCATTCGGTTTGTTTCTACCATTTATTAGTAATGATTTACACAGTTTGTTTACTACTTACTATATACCTGAGCATTCAGTATTGTGCAATATAGCATACAGAAGGTGATGGACATTTGGGGGGGAAAGAAGTGCTGCATTTTATCATTTAAACATGTGACTTTTCATGAAAATTCTATAATCCAAGATTGCCGCCACCATAATATGCAAATTAGATGGAAAAATGTAATCCCTACATAAACTTTGGGTCATCCTTAATATTTCTCTAATTTACAGAAAGTCTCTATATTTTATCACTTTTAAGATATAGCCTTTTGAAATTGAGATGTCAAAATAGAACGTTTTAGGAAAAAACCTCTGGCGCCTAAAGGGTTAACTCTTTACATTTTGCACACTAGTTAGGTTCCTGTCACGTGACAACGGACCACAGTGTAAGGGAGTGATTGATGGCTAATATCAACCAAACCTAAAATCTGTTTTAAATTTTACAACGAAAAGATGAAGTTTTATTGGTTATGTTATATAACGGTTACATTTTGAGCAAATAAATCAGGTGAACCAATGATTCAATGACTCATTCATAAAGAGAGCTGTTTACTTAATTCCTGAATGAATCAGTCGTTTGAACGAATCGAAATAATGAATGATTCAATGACTTACGAGTCATTTTAGACATTTACTGCCACCTACTGGCAGTTTTAGTTTCTTATTTAGATTTAGCCTGGATGCCAGCCCGAACCCCGCCCATAACATTTTTTGGTCGGGAAGTTCGGTCTGGACTCAATCCATTGAGGAGTAATTATGATCAGTCAAAAAATGTTCGGGCCAATCAAATTGCCAGGGCGGGCTTTATACGATTATGGACAGATGGTCTGCAGGGACGTAGCCTAATCATCATGTTATCAAAGAGCGCGATGACTGCAGCTGGAGAACTGAGATGTGTAGATTCTGCTATCGCGTCTGTTGTAAAATAAATCGACAGCGCATTCATTTTAATAGACGAACAGAAAACTGCAATCAAGGCATTTATCGATCGGAAAGATATTTTTGCCGTCCTTCCTACAGGATTCGGCAAAAGTGTAACTTATCAGCTGGCTCCGATGGTCACTAAGAAGATGGGACGCAATGAATCCCTGTGGTCGTTGTGGTTTCTCCTTTGGTCGCACTCATGGAGGACCAAGTAAAAGAAGCAACACTCGTTATTTTACTTCTTCCAGCGTGCGTGCATTTGAGTTCTGTAGTTGACAACTGTGCTATGCAAAGTAGTTGACTTACTGCGTTGCTCTGATTGGTTGTAGGTCTATCCAATTGAGTGCAGAGTTTTTTTTCCTGGTTCGGTTAAGACACGCCTCATAATCAAAGCCCTATGGAGCAGTATCAGACTCACATTCTGACTAGAATATGAGTATGACGAAGTCAGGCTAATTTAGAGTAATATTTCTTTAAAAAAAAAACTTTAATATTTCTATTTCAATTTAAAAAAAAAACATTAAAGGTATAGTTCACCCCCCCAAGAAAATGATGTTGTTATTTACTCAACCTCATGGACGTTGAAGCCTAAACGTTTGTGTAATAAATTCTATGTTGGATCAAAAACATTTTTTTCTAAAGCTACTTTTAGCAATGTATTTAAGATGCTTTTCTCATTTATCAAAACTTACTTCTGTTTTAGTAAATTCATAATGTTCAGAAGACACGACCAAGCCTTCATGTCACATTTCCAACTGGAAAACTCCAGAAGGTCCATTGAAACGCTGAGAGCTTCTTCTAGATCACTCATGAGGCCTGAAAAAAAAAAGAAGCAGAAACTGATTTAAATCAAAGCTGTTTACTTTATACATTTCAGTTACTGGTGGGTGATGAATCTAACAAATAAAGCCAACAGACTTACAATGGAGGATGATCTTTATAACATCCTTATAACCACACAGCAACATGCTAAACACCAATCAGAAATGTCTAGTTTTCATACGTACGGGTGCTCAGCAGGAGAGAGCAGAGATCCAGCATCAGTTCATGACTCGGGACTAAAGAGTGCAGAATCTGAGCAACAGAAACCAGAATAAAATAATCATTTTAATCCGACACTTTATTAAATTTATATCTGATTGGCTGAACCATTTCATACCCTTAATGACCTGATCAGTCTGTCATTTGGGGCATTGTGTCTCTTGAGGAACTGGTACAGGTACACATGAGCATTGGGATTGATTGGGAAATCCTTGTTGTAAGCGTAATTCTCCAGAATCTGCAGAGCGCCGTCCTCATCGTTGTAAAACTCCAGCATCTGCAGCGGATAACACATATAGACAGCATTATATAATGCAAAGACAACTTTATCAATCCAAACCTGTCTTATTTTCTGTTTACAAGTTTGGGGTCAGTAATATTTTTATAAAGAATACTTTTATTCAGCAAGGACACATTAACCTGATCAAGTGACAGCAAATACATGTATAATGTTACAAAATATTTCTATTTCACATTAATATAAAAAATAAATAAATATTAGAATGATTTATAAAGGATCATGTGACAGTGAAGACTGGAGAAATGATGCTGAAAATCCAGCTTTGTTCACAGGAATAAATGACATTTTACAATATATCCACAGTTATTTTAAATTGTAATAATATTTAGCTGTTTTTACTGTATTTTTGATCAAATAAATGCAGCCTTGGTGAGCAGAAGAGAAAAAAAATCCCAAACAAATGTACATTGTAAAGAAACGGAAGCAAATAATGTTAAGATAGTCCATATGATTTGTGGATTATATTCCAAGTCTTCTAAATAATATAATAGCTTTGAGTAACAAAAAGACTGATTTGTATGCTGTTATGCACTCACAAAAACTCATTTGTGCATGTACATTTAATTAAAATATGACTTGTGTTTCTCACACAAAAATACATCATATGACCTAAGACGACTTGGAATATACTGTTTATTTTTATGAAGCTTTTTTGAAGCTTGTTTGATTGTACAAAGCTGTGTGAAGACTCCTAAAACAAATCTGCTGGTGTGTTCCACAGAGTTTTAAGTTTGAGTAAATGACGACAGAATTGTCATTTTGGTCTAAACAAACCCTTTAAACAAAGATAATTGTCAAATTGCACAAGGTAAGAGAGTGTCTCACATTAATGTAACCCAACACAAAAGGGTCCCAGATTCCAGGCTGACTGATGATGTCCTTCAGGGTCACAGAAGCATATCTGAAGTAGCTGTGCATCTCATGGTTACGGCTCGCCTCATCTGATACCAGAAACATGGACATGAATGCATTAAACTGGTTTACAGTGACAGTGAAGACATTTAATGTTACATAAATTTCTGTTTCAAGTAAATGCTGTTATTTTGAACTTTCTATTCAAAGTATTTGAAAAATTGGTTTCCACAAAAATATGAAGCAGCACAACCATTTGCAACAAAGATAATAATCAGAAATTTTTCTTTAGCAGCAAATCAGCATATTAAATTTATTTCTGAAGAAATAAATAAAATTTTAAAGAGGACCTATGATACTTTTTGACATTTTAGCTTTCTTTAGTGTGTAATGTTGCTGTTTAAGCATGAAAAAGCTCTGCATATTTCCAAAGCTCAAAGTCCATCCTGTGGGAGTTATTATCAGTGTCACTGTTACTGAACTCCATGAAACGCCTCCATGGTAGTCTTGAGTTTTCTTCAGAGAATGAACACATCACAATATTCCTCATTTAAATAATTCATACTAGAATAAAGGGGCGGGGCCTGGTCGAGTAAGTTAGTAGTGTGTTGAAACTCACGGTTATGGTAAAAGGCGGGACATTTCCCAAGCACGTGCAAAGCACTTGACCAATCACAACACTGGTCCAGCCAACCAATCAGAGCACACTGTGCTTTTTGGAAGGAGGAGCTTCATAGAGACAGGAAGTAAAAAGAGCGTTACTGACAGACTGGGAAGAGAGGAGCTGCAACAATGTCAAATAATGTGTTTGAACATTCAAGCAAGAAACCCTATTCTAGTAGAACTAGTAGAAAAAGGGCATATTAGGGTCACCTTAAGAAATATTCATATTTTTTTTTTTTTTTTTTTATGTCAAAACTGACGTCTTGCCTGGGAGCCCAATCATCTTTGAGTGGAAACAAAACGAGCCAAGGGATATTGGCCAGTGAGATTTACATGCAGAGCCAGTCCCACCCAGACATATGGGTATATAAGGCCGGCTCGCATGCACTCATTCAGGCTTTGCTGGGAAACCAGACAGGGATTCCAACCATTCAGAGATGGTTCAGGGTTTTGGCAAGGGGGACGTAACACCTCTGTTCCCTCCATCAGGGAACGAGGGTTACATCAGTAACGAGACGTTCCCATTCAGTCAGTCACGTTCGACGTAACATCGATATTGACATATTGGGGTGCCTATGGGAAGTGCCACAGCCACTAAATTGTTACGAGTGTAGGAGACACAGATGCTGGCAAGCTGTAGCGTGCCCGTTTGGCAACTGCCCCCACACAGTCTTAACCTACCCAGCGCCACATGAAAGCCCTAGGAAAATTAGTCCTCCATACCAACAGGATGGAGGGGACAAGGCCTATCCTGGAGACGGTCGTAGCTGCGGTTTCTCTTATCGTGATGTTTCACGGGAAGAGTTCTTTGGTTCTCAATTACCATTTATTATACAGTCATGACCAGGGTTGTCAACGCTGGAAAAGCGTGCCTAGTCCAAAGGAGAGGGACACTACGGAGGCCACAGCCTACTGAAGGGAGGTAATGTGTGGTGGATACATATATGGACTGACCCGTGGGGCAGTGCTACATATGGAAGATCTCTGTGGTTGGTCCTGTCTGTCCAGGGAAGTAGCTACTACTGATGCAGAGACAGGGCAGAGCAGAAACTCCCCAGGGTAAAACAGGTTTTACCAATTGGGAAACCATACCGTGGAAACTACACATATGGGATTACCAAGGGGGAAATCACAGCATATGGGCATCTAGCCTAGTACAAGGGCTGACTGACCGGAGGCTCAATCCTCCCAGGCCTACGGATTCAGGGTTTGCCGAATGGGGAACTCACCTGAAGAGCAAAGTAGGCACTCGTATCCCCCCACTTGAGGGGAATGGCGCTGAAAGCGAGACACCAAGCCAGCCTTCCCACACATTACCTGTTTGTACCCAACACATGGGAAGAAACCGGCTTAACCCGGAAATTGTGAAAATCTTGTGAAGCCCGTAGCTCTGCAGATGTCTGCCAGAGAGGTGAGCCCTCACTCTGAGGGGGCACGGCTCGCCTTGGGACTGGTACGCCAAGGCGATGCCATCCACTATCCAGTGGGCTAAGCTCTGCTTGGAGACGGCCTATCCGATCTGCTGACCTTCAAAGCAGACAAAGAGCTGATAAGAGCTTCTGAAGCTCATGCTGTGCAAGAACAGGACTCAGCAACACAAGGGCTGGGTTTGCCTTTTTTAGTGGTAGCGCTTGCAAGTTCACCACCTGGTCCCTAAGGAGTTTGATGGGAACTTTGGGCACATATCCAGGCCGGGGTATCATGATCACGAGAGACCGGGCCAGCCAGAACTCAAGGCATGATTCTCTGACCGAAAAAAGGACTGCAGGACCCCCACCCTCTTGAAGGAAGTGAGCGCGGTCAGGAGCACTGTCGTTAGAGACAGGATCTTAAACTCAACTGACTCCAGCAGCTCAAAGGGGGCTCTCTAAAGACCAGAAAGGACCGCAGAGATGTCTCCCAGGAGGGGATGAAACGCGGCCTGGGAGGATTTAGCCTCCTGGTGCCTCTCAGGAACGTGATGAGGATTGTGCAGAAAGGCTAGCTTGGTGTCTCGCTTGCAGCTCCATTCCTCTAGTGGGGGGATACGAGTGCCTACTTTATTCTTCAGAGGAGTTCCCCATTCGGCAAACCCTGAATCCGCGATCCTGGGAGGATTTAGCCTTATGTTGCCTCTCAGGAACCTGATGACCAGGGGTCCTTTTCCCAAAAGCAACGTTAGCCAACTATGGTTGGAAGTTCCGTCTTTATCAGCATAGTTCAACGAGTTAGTGTTTCCCGAAACCATAATTCTAACGAACATTCGCAAACAGCATTGCAGAGTTAAGTGGTTGGAACGACAGCTCACGACCTGTGGTTAGAAGCATAGTTTCTTGTTTGCATGACGTGGACTAATAAGCAAGCTGACATTCAGTACAATCTGTATCTTTTATTTAGAATACATACAAATGTAATTTACGTCTTTTACTTTGTCAAGAGATTTAAAGTCATTTTTGTGCGCATGTGCGTAAACATGCTCTACTACGTAAGAACGAGCCTATGATTGAATCTGGAAATAAAGCAAAATAGTGCTGCACGATTAATCGAATCGCAATCGTAATCGCGATGTCAAACCTATGCGATTATATAACGCAAAATGCCGCAATTTTATATGAACACAGCATCTCTTCTTTTTTGTCATCCTTTGACTAGTGTTACATGATCCCGCTCTTATTCGTGCAAATGCCTTAAAGCCATTTTGGACGACAAGTCAAAAGAGAGCGCGCTGCCTGTGAATGTCCTGAATGTGACTCACAGAAAAACGCGCGCCAGTATAATGTGCATGCACAGACCGCGTGCCAGAATACAGTTCTCTTTCGAGCTTGAACGAACAATAACACACACAATTATGCCAAAATGTCGTTTTGTTGATTATCTTCATAACATAACAGCAGTCTTATGATGGACAAAAAGAGTTGTGCTTGTGAGAGAATGAGGCGCGTGAGAGATCCGCGTCTCGGCAACGGCTGCTCTTAAAGGGCCAGCAGCGAATAAAGCGTTCCGTCAGTAAAGTTAATCAAAGAACAAAGGGAACAGAAAATTACTCACTGCTCTTGACTAAAGAAGTTTTGTGGGTTTAATAAGGATTAGTCTATATATATAATTTATAATTCATGCAGCGCAGACTGTTTGATAACTTTATTCAATTTCTGTATATAAATCTGTATATAAATCCTCAATCCTACCTGTTAAGACAGGAAGGGCACAGGTAAATATGGCATTTATTATGGGTTTATGTGAGGATTGTTTGAAGTTCACTTAATTTAAAAGCTGTTATTATTATTTTTTAGGCCTAATAAATATTTTAAAAGTTGATAGCTTTCAATTGTATTGATGGAATCACTGTAATGTTGGATGGCTATAATTAACGTTTAAAATGTGGGGGGTGTCGCCATTTTTATCCAGACATCAATGGTTTATTGATCATTATAGGTGTTATCAATCATTTAGTTGTTGTTGCTAGTTTGAGTTGAGAAATACACATTAATACACAGAATGATCACTAATCTGTGTGTGCATTTTACTTTACAACCAAGCAAGTTGACTCATGAAACCATTTGTTTATTATATCGCAATCGCATATCGCAATCGCAATATTGACCTCATTAATCGCAATATGACATTTTCCCCAAATCGTGCAGCCCTAAAGCAAAATAACTGAGAAAAATGATAAATGGTCCTCAAATTGCATGTCCGTAATTTATAGCAAAACATCTAGTATTAATTCGATCTCAAACAGATTAATTAAAAAAAGTTATTACTCCAACAAGTGTGTGACATTAACCAACGTGATTGAAAGCCCAATTTGCGACAATATGGTTTGGGAAACAGTCGTGACTAGCTAGTGGATTTCTTCAACAATGCTTAGTACTATGATAGTTAAGCAGCGAGTTACGTCTTTGTACAGGAAACGCACCCCTGGTCGTGCTTTCCCAGTGAACTACCATCAACTGCATCGTGATGGGGTGGCTGGGGTTGGTGACGAGCGCTGGGGCCCAAACTGCGTGGTGTCCTGAAGTAGAGGCAGTAAGTGTGGTGTGACACTTACCTGGCTCTGTGGGTCGGTTAGGCTACGGAGGCGCCAGGAAGCACCACGCCATCGAAACGCAAACTCCCTGCCTGTAGCTAAAGAACCTGGGACCAAGGAAGCGGGGCGTCGCTCACTGCCAGACCACGCCCAGTATGGACCAGAGGCTGAACAAATAAACTGAAACTGGAGATTCTCCACTGAGGGGAGAAGTGGCTCAGAGCAGCTCCCTCCACCTCTGGGCCCCCCCGTCCTAAGGCTGATTAGATGGACGCTTTGAGGGTTTAGTGTAGGCCTGTACGGCCTGTACGGACTGCTGAGAAACGCTGGGTCCCTGACAGTGTCGCTGAAGAAGTCGGCCTGGGAGTCCTCGAAAGCGAACTTTGTCAATGTCCTTCATCTCAGCCAGGTTCAACCAGA